ACTGGGCATGCGCGGTACCGCTAATTGATGGGCTGGGCTGCTATTAGTATGTAGTAATACTCGTGGTCTCCCGCTAGTAGCGTCTGACACGGGCTAAATACAGTAGTAGATTGCATGTGGGAGTCGATACACGCCCTTCGTTGTGACTTCTCGTGCCTTCAAGATACACAGAGCAAGCGGACCCGAGCCTGTTCCAAATATAAGCGCATGCGCATTTTCCGCAGCGATAAAAATGGCCGACTAGCGTTAGCCGTACAATGGTGGAAGCGCTCTAGCTTTGCAACGAAGCATTTTCAGAGAAAACCGCCTTTATTTTCTGACCTTCATTGCCCATTAAGTAGGTCGTATCGTGTGTGAGACGAACAGACATTCGAGAAGTGAGATTGAGAGTAACAGACAGACAGACAGAAGTACTCTCGCTGTGCATGCGCGCCGAGGGTAACGAGGCAGAGATGGAGGTACAGACTGTAGTAGCACTGCTGTTGCTCGGCGTTTACACCATTGGGGGTAAGATAATATAGCTATAGCTAGCTCTCCTGCACCAGGTTTCTCCAGTTAGCATAATAGAGAGATGCAATGAAAATGTAGTCCTATTTTATATATTATATAGAAATCCAGGGGAAACCTATTGCGCATGCGCAGTTTGTAGATTGCCACTTCGGGTCTTGTTGTCACATGCAATGGTAAGACTTGAAAAGAACCTTGACGTTGACACAGGGAAGGCTCAGGTGCAGTGCTACTCAGAGGGGCATTGTCCAAATGGTCAACCGACATTGAATATCGGCCAGTTTGATGCAGCTAAAGAGTGCTGTATTATTGGTGAAGCTCTCTCCTGGCAATCTGGAGGAGAACCCTGTGCAGCATGTTTAAGTACGTGATTGTATACACCACAGTATGTTGCATGTGCTATACTTTGTCCTTGTTTCCAGAAAATGATCTCTTCAGAGTTACGGTTTCCCTTTCCACTCACAATTTCCACATTAATATTGTGACATTCATTAATTCATGCACTCTTTAGAGACTTAGTGAGCGTATATTATACAGATTTTATCATGCAAATAAATGGCAGAACTAGACATTTTTGGTGTGTTTTGCTCCTATAGTTTATGGGTGGAAAGAGACATATTCCGAGGCAAGGATAGGTGACACATTGACTCTGACTGTTGGCATTATCAAGGGGTCACCTGAAGTCAGAGTTATTCTTGGTGTGGAATACAACAATACTGGTAAGACTGTTTCAAACAGCTAGTGTTTAGAGTCAACTTTAACGTTGGCTTTTGTGTTTTAGAAGTGAGTGTGGGTGCTACTGATTTCGACCCACCCAGACTCATATTGGCAGCTGAGGATCTGAGTTTACAAGTGACAGTGTTGGATGATGGTCAACCCCTGCAAGAAGATAAGAACATCACGCTAACACTAGCAAAGATAGCAGGGGGGAAAAGTTCTGATATCATTGTCACTGAAGCAATAATCACAGTCCGAGCACAAAAGATCCCAGGTTTGTGAGTATTTTTAATGGTTTTAAAATGTTTGCCTTTACTCTGCCACCCTGTTTTATACTCTCCTTCTTAATTTCTGGTTGTGCTCATGCTCTTAGCTGACGCTCAGTGTTCGAGTCTCACGTAAAGGACTATCTGCGCATACGTGATTTGTTTCGAGTGCTGCCGAGCATCCAAAGTCTACTTTGCAGAATGTCACTAACTCTTTGGGTCCACGCAACTGCCCTCCTTTTTTGTATTGTACCTTCCTTCAGTAAGGTATGGCAAAATAATGCGCAAAACCAGAAATTAAGAAGGAGAGTTTAAAAACAGGGTGGCAGACGCTCGGCAGCACTCGAAGAGAAGCCTTATATGTCGTCTTCTATTCTATCTTATCTTTTTCCTCCTGTATAGTTGAGCTGCTAGTGTACATAATACACTAAAGTGCAAACCTTCGGCGAACTGCGCATGCGCGGTACCGCTAATGGATGGGCTGGGCTATTGGCGTTAATACTCGCGGTCTCCCGCTAGTAGCTCGCGGAGAGTCTGACACGGGCTAGCTACAGTAGTAGATAGCATGCGGGAGTCGATACACACCCTTCGATGTGGCTTCTTGTACCTCCAAGGCACAGAGCAAGCGGATCAGGTCGAGGTGAGCAGACACAGCAACATACTGCGCCGATCGCGTCTAATACAAGCTTACGCATGCGCACCTCTTATTGATGGGTTGGGCCACGCAACGCGGTCCGCGACCGTGCCAGTTTGTCTCTCTCGAACGCAGTTGTTTCAGCAAAATCGCAATTTTCTTTTTCTAGCCCATGTACCGCTAAAGCTGTTGTTGGTATCGCTCATTAGCCGCCTCGTAGCCTATAGTGCGAGAATAGTCGTAGACAGACACACACACACACACAGACACACAGAACGACTACCGTAACCCTCGCTGCGCATGCGCGCCGAGGGTTAACGCATACTAGCCCAGCCCCCATCAATTAGAAGTATCGTGCATGCGCAGTTTGTCGAGGGTTTGCACTTCCGCAGTGCTATATACAAGATACCTGTGAACTCACGAACACCACCTGTGTGTCTGTCTGTCTGTCTGTCTGTCTGTCTGTCTGTCTGTCTGTCTGTCTGTCTGTCTGTCTGTGTGTCTGTCTGTGTGTCTGTGTGTGTGTTATGGAACCCCCCATGCAGATTCTCTTTCTTGCACTGCTACTGGATTGTCAGAAGTAGCTATAAATTGCAGTGGGGTTGAACCAGACACTTCTCTACAGTGTTCATTTAGTGGTGGACCACTTCACTCATGTAAGTAGCATACGTAGTAGTTATGTCATGTCCGTGAGGTACGTTGCCGGAATAAATCACGAGTGATTTATTCCGGAAACGTACCGAACGGACATGACATTGTAATTTATGTCGTCATGACCCGCGTTGGCTACGGATAATGGCGCAAAAATTCTTGTTTGTCTCGACCTAAACCAGTTTTCCGACCGGTTTTTTTCTTGCTGGCAGGTCGTGACCCGGAGCGTCTCTGAGCTGACTTCACGTTCATCCGTGCTCGCGCTAGTCCTTTCGCCGTCGCTGGTCTTTTCCTGTTCTTCTCCCTCACTCGATCGAGCGCTCTTCGCGCCATCCTTCGCGTCTCACAGGAAGTTGTAACACTCATAGGAAGTTGTTATGTCGTCATGCGTGGGTGGATCAAAAGCGCCGCCACGCACTATATCAGGGCGAAATACCCGCAGCGAGGGCTATATCAACTTCCTATGAGTGTTATATCAACTTCCTGTGAGACGCAAGGGATGGCGCGAAGAGCGCTCGAGTGAGGGAGAAGAACAAGAGAAGGCCAGCGACGGCGAAGGGACTAGCGCGAGCACAGATGCAATACGGCGGAGATCGGGGCGAAATACGGGCTATAGGATGAGTGTCCAGTGGAATCATGACTGTCTCTCTTGAAGCTTCAAAGTGTCTAATGGGGTTCGTCAAGGTGGTGTTCTTTCTCCTTTCCTCTTTGCTGTATATTTGGATAGTTTGTTGAATGAGTTGTCTCTCTCTGGTGTTGGTTGTTGTTGGCGATGGATGTTTGCTGGTGTTTTTTGTTTTTCTGATGATATTGTTTTATTGGCTCCTTGTGCCTCTGCTCTCCGCAAAATGCTATCAATTTGCAGTTCCTATGCATCATCACATGGTTTGATATTTAATTCTGAAAAGACTCAACTGATATGCTTCAGAAAGAATGTCCGGCAGTCCTCGGTTGACCACATCGAATTTAATGGAGTTTTCCTTAAATTTTGTAATAAAGTCCTGCACCTTGGCCATCTTCTTTCGTTTGATCTCAGTGATAAAGATGACATCATCAGAGCCACAAAAGACGTTAACCGCAAGGCCAACTTTGTTCTGTACACCTTTCGTTATGCAGATCCATTCGTGTTGACTTTTTTCTACAAAATGTACTGTCTCTCTCTATAATTTGGCATCTCCCTAGAAACTCTGATACATCCATTGTCCTCAATACGGCAAGGATTTCTTATGTACACAATATTATCATGTATCGCTACTCGAAGTTCATCTCTCGTTGTCTCGACAGTGAGTGTTTTTTTGTTATACCTGACTCACTCAACCTTGCCTTCTCTTCTGTTGGTTATAATTGCTTGTATGGTAACTCTCATACCAAATTTTTCACTGATTATGATTCACAAACAGCAAATACTAGAAGATTCTATCATCATAATTATTATGTATGGTACTCATTCGCCTTTTGAACATTACATTTCTAACATTTCCTCTTAATCTCATTCATTTTTCTTTTCATTTGCACCTTTATTTGGTGTGTGTAACAATGATAATAATATCAACTTCCTATGATGTTACAACTTCCTGTCGGAGACGCGAGGGATGGCGCGAAGAGCGCTCGATCGAGTGAGGGAGAAGAACAGGAAAGACCAGCGACGGCGAAAGGACTAGCGCGAGCACGGATGAACGTGAGTCAGCTCAGAGACGCTCCGGGTCACGACCTGCCAGCAAGAAAAAACCCGGTCGGAAAACTGGTTTAGGTCGAGACAAACAAAATTTTTGCGCCATTATCCGTAGCAACGCGGGTCATGACGGCATAAATTACAATGTCATGTCCGTTCGGTACGTTTCCGGAATAAATCAATCATTCACAACCCCCTCCCTTTTGACATGTAGTCATAGACGGTAAAATTATCATACCTGCTCTGCATAGCATCCAACATTTACGAACAAGAGAACTGAACGAAGATGTAGAGATAGGGTTCTGAACGACTTTCTGTCTCGCTGTAGGTGTCTTAATGTTCCCCTTCTTTTACATGAGGCGACATCCCTATAGTACAGACACTTTAGACAGATATCTTTACAAAATTCTAGGTAACGTACCAAATTCTACTGACAAGTAATGTCAGTCCTCCTGGTAGCCGGTTAAAAACGTGACAATATTGGCAAGTACTGGAGGTTGAGGACACTGTGACGTACGACATAACAAACACCAAAACTGATGGTGAGTGTAATTTATGTATCCACTTTCATCTGAATTTGCTTCTTTGAGTAGCTATAGCTGCTTTTTGAGCATACCAAAATGTTTTTCACACCCACAAACTTTTGATTTTCACTGTATAGTTGTAATTTCACAATATTTTTCTCAGTGTCAGCCAGCGTGCCTCCACTGGAGGTTGTTCTACTGTGGTTCACCTCGTGTGACTGAGAGCTCTGTGGAGGCTGAGTTTGTAACCACCAGACCAGTGACTGGAGTGAGGTGCTTCCTCAGATATGAGAACAAGAATGATTACAAAGACTGTGAGCATAAATAATTAGTTGTTAAAAAAAGGTATTTCACTTTTGTGTCGTACACCATCGTTATGTGCTATTATCACAGGTTCTTCGGAGTGTGTCCTTCACAGGACTGAAGCCTGGACGCTATGTCCTAAAGATCTTTGCCTACAACAGCTAACTGATGTGGCAGCTAATCAAGAGAGTGGTTACTGTGTATCTTTTAACGAGTGGATACTATTATTTTTCTTAATGCTGCAGTACTGTGTCTATAGATAGCTTTAGAACAAAACATGTTTTTCTATGCTTCTACATAATACATAAACATCTCCACTGACACAATAATTTGCTCGTAGTTTCACATAAAAGGAGCTCTTACAATTTTTCAGCCGAGACATATAAATGAAAAGCACTAAAGTGCAAAACCCTCGGCGGCGTGGAACCAAACATGCGGGTTGGGCTATTATTGGCGAGCGGGAACGAGCTAACCTAGTGGTCCAAACGGCGTGATTTTTCTATACGTCCGTCCGTACGTCGTGCTATTGCGCATGTGTCAGAATTACGCGCTTCTTTTTATCCGAAATATTTCAAATTTTTTACACGCTCTTGTGATGCGGAGCCAGGGAGAGAACTCTTGTCCATTCGGCGGCATTCTCTGCACTCTTTGGTGCCTTACCGAGGCTGCAATCTTCGTGGTTCCAAGCTGCAAGTTGTGAGTAGCCTAGGTTGGCTCGTGCGGATATAATGATTGTGTGCTCGCTCCCGCTCGCCACAAATGCCGTGCATTCGCCTACTAGTATTTATTTATTGGCGAGCGGGAGCGAGCTAACCTAGTGGTCCAAACGGCGCGATTTTTCTATTTATACGTCCGTCCGTACGTTGTGCCATTGCGCATGTGTCAGAATTACGCGTTTCGAAATAATTTCAAATTTTGTACACGCTCTTGCTGCTAGCTCGATGCCGAGCCAGGGAGAGAACTCTCGTCCATTCGGCGGCATTCGCTGCACTCTTTGGTGTCTTACCGAGGCTTGCAATCTTCGTGGTTCCAAGCTGCAGGTTGTAAGTAGCCTAGGTTGGCTCGTGCGGATATATCATGTGTGCTCGCTACCGCTCGCCAAAAATGCCGTGCGTTCGCTACTAGTTTATTGGCGAGCGGGAGCAAGCTAACCTAGTGGTACGAACGGCGCGGATTTCTATATCTACGACCGTACGTCGTCCAACACTGCGCATGCTCAGATTACGCGCTTCTGGATTTAAAAATTTCAAATGCTGCCTGCCTGTTATGATGTCGTGCGTATAACATGTGCATATAGTCCGGGGAAGATGCACTTCGTCGTCGAAGAGGTGGGAAAGAGAACATCGTGACCGTGAACTCCTGAGCAGAGAGACTGGTTTTGGGATATCCCTCGTTTGTATCAGCGTCGCTTTCGTGATAGGGAACGCGCAAATTTTTACCCTCCACCTGATGGAGTCTTTGAGTTTGACTACAATGTTGTCATCTCTACTGCCGATGGCACTGCCACTGGTATGCACAAGATTACTATGTACATGGCTCACATGCAAACCCCTCGGACAGTGCACCACTACACTAACATTATATAATATGACAATTTTGTCATTAAACTGTTAACCTCGTGAAAGTACACGTTTTCCGCATTCCACTGTCTAGTCGAACCCCTAGCCTTGCCCCCTTCTCGTATTCAATTGTCTATGATGTAAGAACCGAGATTTTAGTGTGTATGGTCATGTATCTTTGCTGAATAGGCAAATGAGTTACAGGCATTTTATTACTCTGCATGTCCTCTGTCTCTGCAGGAGGCAGTGACTACATGGCCATAGCGGAAGAGGTGATAGCAGCTAGTACGATGCCCAATGGAGTGGTGTCAGTGAATGTGAGTGTCTTCAGTGATGACAGAGTGGAGCTGGAGGAGACATTCTCAGTGGTGGGTAGGGTCCTGGAGAGTGGCCTGATCGCTGACGGAACTGGCAGGGAGTTCCCCGTGGTATTCCAGGACCCTCTCGACGTCTCCATCAACGATGATGGTACAACATATACATGTCTGTCACGCTTAGGAATGTCAATTAGTCACTAAGTGGGAGATTGGGGTAGGGCGAGGGACAGCAGAAGAAAGGAAGATGTAGTCTGTTGTTTTCTGCATCATTCTCTACTCATGCTATTCCAGCCATAATTTTCTATACATCTATCAAGAATGACACATTTTGTACAAAGTTGTAGGGGTGGAGTTTTAAGTGCGCTTCTACTATATAGTTTTCATTTCTCTCTCTCTCTCTCTCTCTCTCTCTCTCTCTCTCTCTCTCTCTCCAGCTATCACTATTGGTTTCGAGAGTATTGAGTACACAGTGGAAGAGGGTGGCACACTGGAGGTAGTCGTGGTGAAATCTGCTCCGTTCGACTCTGTCATAGAATTCGAGGTGGCAGGTGGAAACATCTCTGCCACCAGGGCTTTCCAGGATGGAGCATCCAGTCCCAACTCCATATCAATATTTTTTCAAATCCCTGATGACATCATTGCTCTGGAACCACCGGAAACGATATCATTTACACTGACAGTTCTCAACCCAAATCCACAGATATCTGTCGACCCAGACACTACCACTGTCACCATACTCGACAATGATGGTGAGTTTGGAGTGTGGCTTTGTTGTGTTAGCTACGATGATGAAGGTCGTTGGGCATTATGTGTGGTTCTGTTTTGAATTAATTACCTTCTCCCTCTAATTTTTCTTATAATCATTACTTGTGCAGTACTTGTGGGCTTCAAAGCTGACATTCTCACAGTACCAGAGGATGCTGGCGATGTATTCATACCAGTCACCATCAGTCAGGACGTCCATCAGCCTATCACAGTCGACATACTATACCAGGATGGATCTGCCATGGAACAATCAGGTCGACATAGTCTTAAAATAAAACATACAGTTGTTCCAGAGTGTTAGTCACAGCTCGTGATTTTCAAATGTTAGGACCTTTTTCAGTTGTGCGTAATCTAAGCGCTGGCACGGATAGCTTTCTTTACTGGGTTACCTACAGCTCCTACATAGTTATCTATCTATTGCATTATGAACTCTCTCTTCCCCAAATGTATGATGTGTAGATTTCTTCATAACTGGTCCGTCAAATCTAACATTCACATCAAATGGAACTCGGAATATTCTGATTTCCATTGCTGACGACACTGAAGATGAACCAGACGAGACGTTCTCCATAGCTCTAGTGAACCCTGTGTCAGGAGCCACTGTCGTTGTCTCCCCTGACACCATCACCATAACCATCATTGACAATGATGTCACTATCGTTGACAATGATGATGAAACACCAACTGGTAAGCAAGTACATACTCCAGGCCCAGGCTAATAGACCTACTAGCAAAATCACGTAGTCTTTGACTCAGTATAATTATAATTATGCAATTGCAAAGTGTGAAGCACTGTTTATGTTAGTATTGAATACACTTTTGTTTCGAATAGGAGATAAAAATCCGCCTGTGATCATCATCATAGTAACTGTTGTGATAGCCGTGCTACTGATTGCTGCAATCATCATCATAACAATTCTCATTGGAATTATGAGGCAGAGGAAGAAGAGGCAAAAGAAGTTTGCTCTACCCACCTATGATGATCCAGATTATCCCTACTATTCTTCTGTCCTTGACAAAACCGAAAATAAAGCAAGTACCGAGATTTCACTGCAGACACAGCCAGAAAATTTAGCCATTCCTAACCAGCAGCAGGAAAATATTACTTCCCCTATTGAGCAGCAAGAGAAAGTTGCCTATGGTGCTCTTTCGAACCAGCAGCAGGAAAATGTTACTTCACCTATTACGCAGCAATTACCTGGTGATCAGGCTGAGGAGCGATGCTAAAGACTATGAGATTAATATGGATTATGTGAATCATACTGAGTAGCTTTAAACATTATAGCATATTTTCTTCAACTTATGGCGTGCATTACTACTGTAAGGATCTTATTGTAGCGAAGGTTCGCGTTAATAATAATGATCTCAAACTTCCAACTCAGTACAAGCAGTATAATGCACGTGCATTGCCTGCCACTACACGGCAGGTTAATAACATTCTTTTTTAGTGCACCTCTTCTTGATCTTACCAAAATGTCCCATTTTTACACTCATACTTGCTGTTTGTCTCAATGTACTTGCCTGCCCTTCTTTAGTTACACCTCTTCCCGATTTGTAAAAGAACGTCAAATCAGACACAACGACGGAAGAGATTTCTAAGCTGTTTTCCGTCTACGGACGAGTGTTTGACGTGCAGAAGCATCCAAACAGACGCAGTGTTGCCTTTGTGGTGAGTACCCCATAGTCCCATACATACAGTAGCTACAATAATTTTGCTCCGGAATAAACAACTAGTTCTTTTATGTAAAGTGAATAATACTGTAGGGGAGGCAAAAGTCACTGCGCATGCGTGCCGAGGGTTAGTAACGCGGAAAATTGCATGTACCTAGTTGCTATAAACTTAAGAGTATAGTCGTTGTGAGATGTTCAGTTTTGTTTGTCTCCTGCAGTACATGTGTGAGGAGGGAGGCAACAAGGCCATTTCCAGCCTCAATGGCTTCACCTCCAACCAGACCAGCAAACCACTCATTGTCGAGCTCAGCCATGAGGTAGAGTAAAGAACTGTGTGTGTATACAGTGGAACCTCTGAACAATGGACACTGTGGGGCCAACGATTTTATAGAGAGGTCATCCCTATCTTGGAGGTTGAATAGCGTAGGGTTGGGACATGTAGAGAAGTCGTCCCTATCTCGGAGGGTCACTTATCCGAGGTCCCACCTCTTCTTTCTTGCCATTATACTTGCACATCTTTGCAAGCAACCATATATTATGTTTCTCTCTCTCTTTCCCTACTCCAGCCAACAGGAGCAGTCTCACTAAAGGTTTGATCCAGAGCAGCTATAAAAGTCAGACCAACCAGCCATACATTATTGTAGTTACTCACATAATCAACTACCCCACCTAAGAAACTCAGTTTATTGTCACTGCACATTGCATCACTATTGATCACTTGCCAGAATCACTTGCTTCATCAATGAGACAATACTTTCATCTTTTTGTGATCTTTTTCTCAATCAATAAAGGATGAGACTATTCGCACTTAGGTTGCGCGCATGCTCTTAGCTTACGCTCAGCGTTCGAGTATTACGTAACGGACTGTCTGCGCATGCGTGATTTGTTTTCGGTGCTGCCGGAGTCTGCTGCGAGGAGTGACAGAATGCCACTAACTCTTTGGGTCCACGCAACTGCCCTCCTTTTTTGTACCTTCCTTCAGCAAGGTATGGCAAACTAATAGAACCCACGACACTCTGCAGGCTAGGCGAGCGCTCTACCAACTGAGCTACCAGCTGGTAGGGGTTCACCCACGTATAGCTAAAGCTTTCTTTTCCAGTCACCGTATCCTCAGCTGCTGTGTTCGTTCCAAGTTAACTATCGGCCTGCAAGATATTATGTTTTGCTATGAAGGGCCTCCATGTTGATTCTACTTGCCACGTATTGCGCAGTGTCCACTTTCCGCAGCACCTTATAATAGGTGTGTCTGTGTGTGTGGGTGTGTGCGTGTGTCCGTCCACCTTTTTTTCTCGAGCCAGGGGTGTCAATCTGACGCTATAGCGCTACAATCAACGCCAAGCGCAATTTTAAAGCGCCAGACAGAGAAAATGAACCGCCAAAGCTTGCCTACGCGCGCATATCTGCGAAATACTTGTGGACGTGGAATTACGTTTTTTAGCAGAATATTTGGCAATTGGGTGTAGCGCCAAGGCTGTCCCTGGCGCCATGTCTTTGGCACCATAGATTTTGCAGGTTGACACCCCTGCTGAGCGTGAAACATGGACATTTATAAGTACGAGGCATGCATGGTAAACTAAGATTCTGGAGCGGAGGGGAAGCTGGTGAAACGGACGGCTGCCGAGGTGAGTGTGCGTCAAGTGGAGATCGCGGACGATCGCTGTATATGCTTTGCGCCTGTGGAGAAGATTTGCTGGTTTGCTTGTATTGATGGTATATTATACAGTTGAGTAGGAGCGAGATTTCCGGTGAAGTGAGTGCAAGGGAGTGAATGAATTAGTCACTGAGGTAGTGTAGCCAGTGGCCATTGGCTGAATGTAGGCTCTAATAAAGAATAAAGTGGTGAGGGTTATGCACTTGTACTGTCAAGTGATTTTCACTTTGCTGTTGTAGCAACTAGTATATTGAACACGCATGTGCAAAAGAATGTGGACAAAGATGGCCTTACAGGAATCAAATCTTCACTGCTACAGACAGGACTTCACCTCTTGCTCACAACGTTATGTAGATAGTAATGGAGGAGAAACTAACTCCATACATACATATATACATACTAGCTGCACATGGTTATGTATTAAAACGTATAGGCGGCGAGGAGATACTCCGAGGCGGTTGACTAGCCCGAGGCCGTATAGTTAATTAACAGCCGAGGAGGATTTCCTGTACGCGCTGATTTGTAGTCCAACTAGCCAATCACAATGCTGAATTTCTGCTGCATCATCCTGCACTAATGTATATACTAATGTAACTGTTGTGTAAACTTTGGAAACCAGACAATTTGCACTACGCCTAGCGCTAGATGTTGTGATAAGGACTTCCTGTTGTGCAGCCCACAGCCCACAGCCCACAGCTCAGCCATATTCCTAGCACTGGGTTGTTTGAAGTTGGACTACAATGGTCTTTATCTTTTTTCAACCTTACAAATCCTCACCAGTTCCAACAAGGCTTCACAATCATAACAACAAGAGGATAGTTCTGCAGTATGCACAGAAACGGAGAGTAACTTTATGATTGATGGTTTTACAAGTATTCAAAGAAAGAATACAGTTGAAACTAGTAGATGACTTAATTAATTAATTAAAGGAAGAGCAGTCTCTGGGTTCAAATATGGCAAATATTCTCAACTATTGAAGCTCCATAATCAACAGTGGCGAGGGTTATGCACTTCCAAGTGCTTTTCATTATAATTATATCTTCTCTCTCATTTACAGGGCATGCACAGTGCTATGCAGGAAATGCTGTTTGCTCTGGTGCAAGCACTGCTTTCACTACAGCCGAGGAGTGCTGCCTTGGTGACGGAGAGTCTTACAACGAAGGCTCTTCCTGTGAAATATGCTACGGTACAATGCAATATTATAGGAAGATTCTTTTATTAACCCTCGGCAGCGAGGGTTACGGTAGTCGTTCTGTGTGTCTGTCTGTCTGTCTGTTACCACGTTTTCTGCCACCACGCGCAACAAACAGGCAAAAAAGCGACACCAACTGGTTCAGCGCTACACTGGCTTCATTTTAAAACTGGCGATTTTCCGTGTTCAAAAGTTATGGCGTGAAAAGCAAGTGAACAAGCCAATATGCAAATTAGCACGGGCTTACCTCGACAAGATGTGCTTGATCTGCGTACCTTGGAGGCGCAAGACGTCACAACGAAGGGCGTGTATCGACTCCCGCATGCTTTCTACTACTGTAGCTAGCCCGTGTCAGACTCTCCGTGTGCTACTAGCGGGAGACCGCAATTAGCGGTATCGCGCAAGCGCAGTTCACCGAGGGTTTGCACTTCAGTGCTTTTTCATTAATTATTGAGAGTCTCTGTGTATTATACAGTTATCCGATACCAGCCGACAAGCCTCACCCTCAGCGAAGGAGACCAATCAACGCTTCCTGTCGAAGTTTTCAAACCTCCTGCGGGAACGGGGGCGGGTGCTGTCGATTTCACCATCATGAACGAGGACAACATTGGTAAGTTGTAAGCAATCCTGTACATTGGTAGTAAGACACTCGTGAAATCTGCAAGATATTATGTTTGTAGGACAAACACCTAACATCATATTGGGCAGATGCACATGCATCTGGAGCAGTAGAAAATCTCTGCAAGGCAACTACATTATACAGCACTGTTACCAGCATGATTTTGTGTGTGCGTTGTTTTACAGCTGATGTGCGAGTTGGTGGAGCAGACAGTCCAACTGGGACTTTGCTGTTCAATTTCTTTGGTCGGGAAAGGGGCTTCAACATACGGGCCGAGGCTGACCAAATCGGACAAGAAGGGACTGAGACGATTACAATTCCCCTTGTCGTGACGTCCACAAGCCCCACAGTATTTGTCGGTCCTCCAGCTACCGTTACAGTTATTGATCAGAGTGGTAAGTCCCTTTAGCATCACATGCGTGTATGGTGGTGAATGGTGGGAAATTGAATTGAGTGTGTGATGTTGTGCTCTCTCTCTCTCCAGTTGTGTTGGTGGAGCTGACAGAAGCAGACTACCAGCAGGCAGAGGGCCAAGGAAACAATGTGATAACAGCACGGGTGCTGTACAACCAGGAGATTGCCAATCCCATCACGGTCACGTTTTTCCCCGTCACCTACGACCGCTACCTGAACGTGCTTGGCCTCGATCTCCCAAGTTCATTCCCAGGGAGGATGGTTGAGGCAGATGGTGAGCTAGTACAAGTCTATAGTTAGTAGAGTTGTTCCTATTTCAGATCATCGTAAAACCCAATGCACCAAGAGTGTTATAGCTGCCAGAGTATGGGTATAGCACAGTGGTTTAGGTTTTCCTTTGTGTTGTGTTGTGTTGTAGATTGGAACCCCTACCAGCTGAGTTGTCGCAATGAGATAACGAAAGAGCGATACCAAAAGGTTCAGAACTATACCGGCTTGGTGTTAAATTTGGCGATTTTCGTAAAAGCAATGCGTTTGACAGTTATGGCGTGAAAACCAAGTAAAAGGAAGGGAACAAGAAGATGCCTACACCAAGACAGATAGCTAGTCATTCATAACCCCATCCCTACATCTTTGTTTCTTTCAAGATCCGCAGTTCATATACATCTATCAATACTGACACATTTTGTACAAAATTGTAGGGGTGGGGTTAGAATTGTGCTTCTACTAGTTTTCATTATTCTCTCTCTAGCTATCACTATTGGTTTCGAGGATATTGAGTACACAGTGGAAGAGGGTGGCACACTGGAAGTAGTCGTGGTGAAATCTGCTCCGTTCGAAATCTTCTCCGTCATAGAATTCGAGGTGGCAGGTGGAAATTTCTCTGCCATCAGGGCTTTCCCGGATGGAGCATCCAGTCCCAACTCCATATCAATATTTTTTCAAATCCCTGATGACATCATTGCTCTGGAACTAGCGGAAACGTTATCATTTACACTGACAGTTCTCGACCCAAATCCACTGATATCTGTTGACCCAGACACTACGACTGTCACCATACTCGAAAATGATGGTGAGTTTAAACAGAGAGTGTTCCGATGTACAGACATAGATATATATTCTACCTGATTGAAATACAGTTTCCACCTCAAAGTGAACTATTTACGTTCATTTTCATGAAACTACGTAGTAAGAGTATGGTTTCACAATGGCCAAGGCTCCTTAGTTCTACCACAAAAGCGGTCAACTGCAATTTTGCTGCTCTTGCTGCAATTAACAACACCTTTACTTTCAGTTTCTGTTTGAAAAAGCAGTTATGAATGTGTTTCGTCAGTTTTGGTAAAGAGACACTTCTGTTTTGTGTCTCCCCATAACATTATTTTAGGAATAAAAGGGATGTCCTAGGTATAGTTTTCTTTGCCTACCTGCACATGCAACATGCAGTGGAGTTTTCCTGCTATGAGTCGACAGAGTGTCACGGGGCAGTGGTGGAGACAGATCTTCCTCTGAGAGGAGACTGCTGTGGAGGCAGAGGTCTCTCCTTCTCCCTCTCTGGTGACACCTGCAGAAACTGCTTCAGTGAGTCTTTAGTACAGAATGCAAAGCATTATGCATAAGTATGTGACAGCACCTTAATTGGTGAGCGAAAACTGCGCAGTTTCCAACGATGAACTGACCATGTGATATGACATACGATGAACTGACATACGCAAACACCAACACAACCTCTAGGTATTATAATTATATATACAGCCCTAGCCATGGCAGTTCAAGCCATTAAGTAGGCACACTTGCTCGCCAAATTGTGCATGATGTTCTTCTATGTTTTTCCACAATATAGGCATGGAAGAGTTTTGCAATGACGGATCTGAGTTTTATGTGGCCTTTTTCAGCAATGTCGAAGTTGCTCCGCTGTTCTCTTGTGTACAACTAGTCGAGTAGATCTTAATGGCTGTAGCACCTTCCAGTGTTAAAGGGAATGTGTCAGTACATAAGGGCTAGTTTTAGAAATGTTACTAAAGATAGAACTGTGGAAGAATACAATTAAATTTTCATTTTCAGTAACAGTTTAGCCCTTATATACTGCCACATTCTTTCCCCTCACAGATGTGGTAGTTGGATTTGAGCGGACCGTATACACTGTTGCTGAGAGAGCAGGGTCTGTTCAGGTTTGTGCAGTCGTTATCAACCCACCACCGAGTCAGCCCCTATCATCATCATTCACCCTCCTCGCTGACACCATTGCTTCCTCTGCAGGTAAACCTTCTACGGTATCATTAAACCAACGGGTCTCAATTGGCCAGTATCAACATTCGAATGTGGTAGCTACACCTTTTTTTTGAATATCCACACTCATTATTTCCTCTATCTTTCAGTTGGTGGATCTGACTATACAGACATCAGCACCTTGCTCCCTGTTTTTAACAACAACAACCTCTTCCAATGCATGAGAATGAGAATAAGTGGAACAAGTTTTGTCCATTGATCAGTGCTTGGTATATAGTCTCTGACACCCACTTTCAGGATTATGCAATCATTCATAATGTCGCACAAGTCTGAGCAGTATATTCTAGACAATGATGAATCAGTGGAACCAATAAATCGCTCAGTAGTCACCCTAACCTTCTTCTCCTGGGTGGGATCGGGGTACAAAACTTGGGTGTTTGTAACTCCCAGTTTAAGAGGCCTGACTTTTATCTCAGAAAAAATCTGTTTTTGTTTTTTACTCAATGCCCCCTGTCATTAGCAACAATACTTACTCAACTGTTGTTTCTTTCTCTTTCGTCCAGATCCTAGTGATTACGCGGAGGCCACTGAGATACTGACCTTTGCACCTGGTGAAATAAGAGTGTGTAGCCTGTTTCTGATCAACGACGACCAAGTTCTCGAGGACCGGGAGGACTTTAGAGTTGTACTGAGGACAAACGATCCTCGTGTGACAGTCCACCCTTCACAGGTCGCTGTTATTATAGTGGATGATGATGGTGAGTAAATATGAGGAGTAAACCCTGTACTTCTATAGCGAATCTACCACTACTTCTATACATCCCATAGAGCCCTGGGTTTTGTGCATCTTTTCGCTGAAAATCTGCACGATCTTACATAAGAAAAACTTATCGACAGTCCTTGAAAGATAACGTGTGTGTCTTGGCACTTTAAACTTCCACTTCAAACCTTTGCACACCCTCACACATCACAAACTACACTCGTGCTTGTCTTTATGGAGGGGATACTAGCATACTTACAAAGTGTGTCCACTTCCGCAGCACCTGCCATCGTAATTAACTGCGCGCATGCGCCGGCGAGGGTTACTGTAGTCGGTGTGTGTGGCTAACCCTCGGCGCACATGCACAGCGAGGGTTACGGTACTTGGTCCGTAAGTTTTTCTGTCTGTCTGTCTGTCTGTCTGTTACCACGTTTTATGCAACCACGCGCAATGAGATAACGAAAGAGCGATACCAAAAGGTTCAGAACTATACCGGCTTGGTGTTAAATTTGGCGATTTTCGTAAAAGCAATGCGTTTGACAGTTATGGCGTGAAAACCAAGTAAAAGGAAGGGAACAAGAAGATGCCTACACCAAGACAGATAGCTAGTCATTCATAACCCCATCCCTACATCTTTGTTTCTTTCAAGATCCGCAGTTCATATACATCTATCAATACTGACACATTTTGTACAAAATTGTAGGGGTGGGGTTAGAATTGTGCTTCTACTAGTTTTCATTATTCTCTCTCTAGCTATCACTATTGGTTTCGAGGATATTGAGTACACAGTGGAAGAGGGTGGCACACTGGAAGTAGTCGTGGTGAAATCTGCTCCGTTCGAAATCTTCTCCGTCATAGAATTCGAGGTGGCAGGTGGAAATTTCTCTGCCATCAGGGCTTTCCGGATGGAGCATCCAGTCCCAACTCCATATCAATATTTTTTCAAATCCCTGATGACATCATTGCTCTGGAACTAGCGGAAACGTTATCATTTACACTGACAGTTCTCGACCCAAATCCACTGATATCTGTTGACCCAGACACTACGACTGTCACCATACTCGAAAATGATGGTGAGTTTAAACAGAGAGTGTTCCGATGTACAGACATAGATATATATTCTACCTGATTGAAATACAGTTTCCACCTCAAAGTGAACTATTTACGTTCATTTTCATGAAACTACGTAGTAAGAGTATGGTTTCACAATGGCCAAGGCTCCTTAGTTCTACCACAAAAGCGGTCAACTGCAATTTTGCTGCTCTTCTGCAATTAACAACACCTTTACTTTCAGTTTCTGTTTGAAAAAGCAGTTATGAATGTGTTTCGTCAGTTTTGGTTAAAGAGACACTTCTGTTTTGTGTCTCCCCATAACATTATTTTAGGAATAAAAGGGATGTCCTAGGTATAGTTTTCTTTGCCTACCTGCACATGCAACATGCAGTGGAGTTTGTCTGCTATGAGTCGACAGAGTGTCACGGGGCAGTGGTGGAGACAGATCTTCCTCTGAGAGGAGACTGCTGTGGAGGCAGAGGTCTCTCCTTCTCCCTCTCTGGTGACACCTGCAGAAACTGCTTCAGTGAGTCTTTAGTACAGAATGCAAAGCATTATGCATAAGTATGTGACAGCACCTTAATTGGTGAGCGAAAACTGCGCAGTTTCCAACGATGAACTGACCATGTGATATGACATACGATGAACTGACATACGCAAACACCAACACAACCTCTAGGTATTATAATTATATATACAGCCCTAGCCATGGCAGTTCAAGCCATTAAGTAGGCACACTTGCTCGCCAAATTGTGCATGATGTTCTTCTATGTTTTTCCACAATATAGGCATGGAAGAGTTTTGCAATGACGGATCTGAGTTTTATGTGGCCTTTTTCAGCAATGTCGAAGTTGCTCCGCTGTTCTCTCAAGCCAGTATTTTCGTGAAAATCGATAACATGGAAGATTTTCAGCAAACCGTTGCTTACTCGTTCAAATCTGAAACAAAGGAAAGAGAAATTGGACCTAGATCCTCAGTTGAGTTAGCTCTACCTCCTGAAATGCGGTTTGGAGATGTCGGTGAAACGGACAAAGGAGTTTTTATCCAATCCATGGATGGGGCAAAACTGTCCGTAACTGCATTTGGTGCAGAGTTCTCTAGCTCTGACACTTACCAGCTACTGCCGTGTGTTTATCTTCCCAGCAACTACGAATATTACGCCATTTCAGTAGCCAAAGAAATAAGAGTGTTGATAGAAGAAGGAGAAGAGTTTATCCTACCACCTTCAGGTAATAGTGCCATCGTTTTCATTGCATCCGGAGAAATGACAACAGTTACAATCACTCCGTCCCAAGATGTAGAAATCATCAAAGGAACTACAACGCCAGCCGGGACCTCGCTAGAACAGACACTAGGCAAGGGAAAAGCAGTGTTTCTCTCCAGTCCTGAGGATCTCACTGGGACTCGTGTCGTATCAGACAAGCCACTGGCGTTCTTTTCCGGTCACGAGTGTGGAACCATGCCCTTTGACCTCCAGTTCTGCGATCACATGGTGGAGCAGATTCTGCCGACGTCAACGTGGGGTACAGAGTTTTACACCGCTTCATTCATGACCAGATCCCTGGACAGATTCCGAGCCCTCACCTCCAGAGATGACAACTCTATAAGGTGGGTGTGTACTGGTGAAAACCCCACATCAGACGAAAGGAGTCTCCCCACTGCTGGAAATTTTACCGAGTTTGAGATCCCGTCAAATAGATTCTGTCGATTCACTTCTATTTACCCAGCACTGTTAGCTCAATTCTCAATCGGAGGAGCCACAAGTTCATTGTTTGCAGCAGATCCATCTATGACAATCGTCCCCCCTGCCGGACAGTACAAAGACTCATACATGCTCAACTACTTTTCCGGACAGATAGTTACAAACTTTGTGAACATTTTTCTGCTCGCCACCCCTGGAATAACAACAGATGGAGTTTCGCTGGATAAAGCCCCCATCAGTGGGACTTGGTCTGGCATCTCTTGCGAAGAAGGAAATGAAGTGTGTGCGTATGGCATCCAAGTCGAGATAACAGGGACGGAATCTGGTGTTGTAACTCTCGCTCATAGTAATCCAGATGCAAAGTTGCTGGGTATATCGTATTCTACTGACATCAGAACAAGTCGAGCATCGCACAGTGGGATGACCCAAAAACCGATTGCACGTAAGACAACAACTAAACAGACATACATCTATCAGTGCAACTTTCCACCTATGGCAAAGTACAACGGCAGAGTCTTTTTATGTGTGTGTGTATGTGCCCTTTCATTTACACACAGTGGACACAGTGTCACTGTCAGCGTCGGAGTACAGTGTGGAAGAAGGAAGTGGGGAGGTAGTCATATCGATCAGCAGGACTGGAGACCTTCTCGATGACATCACCGTTTTGTTTGCGGCAGGGGAAATCCCCAGAGCTACCAGTGCTGCCATAGGTACGCTAAATATCTCAGTTGGCTGGGCGGTAGACTAGAAGCTAAGTAAAAGCCTTTTGCTAAATGGGAAAGTAAGTGGTAAACCTCCGCTGTTAGACCATGAAAGTGGTATTCCTGTCCACAAACAAACCTTTGCACATGGCTCCCAAACTTACCACTGCTGTGTACTGGTAACGATGAGACATTTCTATAGGGAACTATTTGGATAAGTGAATGTATAACATTTCTGTTGTTCTTTGTATACTACATTTGCATACCCAAAGTGGTAAACCTCCGCTGTTACACCATGAAAGTGGGTTTCCTGTACACAAAAAACCTTTGCACATGGCTCCCGAAACTCAAAGGTTTCTTTACCACTGCTGTGTATCGGTAATGATAGGGTACTATTTGGAGTGCCCACTCTGAACGTATAGCATTTCTGTGGTTCTTCATATGCTGTGTACTACATTTGCATACCCACACACAGCTGGTGAAGACTTCACAGAGGCCAGAAGAGCGGTCCTGTTGCCAGCAGGGATGACTTCGGTGACACAGACGGTGGCTCTGGGACCAGACAACATCTTCCCGGGAGAGGCCAAAGTGTTTGAGGTGTATCTTGGACCTGCTCCTGGGGCCTTTGTCTCTCCCACTGCCCTTGCTAATGTCACTATCACTGACAGTGACCCTCCTCTACCTGGTATATAATGACTTAGGTATCTCAGGGTTTCTACAATTTAGAACCTTCCTCATAAAATTATTGTGTTAGACACACTAGCTTGTCTAATGCAGTAGATTTGTAGCTGTATTAAGTTTCTCTCTTTTGCCCTCTCCTTTTATCTGTGTTATTCTTTATAGTGATGAACATCACACTGAGTCAGACCTCGTATGCTATCAGTGAGAGCAGTGGATACTTTGAAATAATCCTCATGAAAACAGATGGTGCAAGAGGTCCTGTTACTGTTAGTGTTACTCCCATCAATGGTACTGCACTGGGTAAGTGGGACATGTATGAAATATAAAAGGCTTGAGAGTATTTTTACAATTTTTGGTAGCTTCGACTGATTTTGAGCTGAATCAAATGGACATCACGTTCCGAATATCAGAGAGGGAGAAAGTGGTACCGGTTAGAATCATAAATGATGACATCGCAGAAAGAAGTGAGCGTTTTACGGTCATGATACAGCCAGTGGAAGGGTTGTTTCGTGTGGCGGTCCTGGATAATTTGACTACTGTCGACATCATCGATGATGATCGTAAGTTCAGGCAAAGATTGCAAGGCAGAGGCAAAACAAACAACACAACTCCACCTAGGGTGGGTGGTGGATTAATAATACGTCGCAATGCACCATCGCACCACCGCTAAGCTTGATCCTTGAAAAGCGGCACAGCGCCATGGGGCAATGCAACACATTGTGAACTAAGCCTTACTCTCTACAGCTTAGTAAAGTGCATGGGTATATAACATAAATACAATTTTGTCTTTTGTTTAACCTTATTAATGCCGTGTTCATGTGTTTGTCAACATCTTGTATTTTATTGATGTCACACAGGCATGCTCATGGCCTTCATGCCAAGTGTTGAGAGTCCAGAAAATGAGTCAGTTGGGGGAGTGACAGAGTCAGTTGGGATGATTTATGTGGACCTGGTGGTAGTCAAGGGGGCCATTGATCGCAATGTGACAGTTCTGCTGATGGCAAATCCACAGGATGGTGACACAGCCTTTGAAGGTGAGCATATAGTGTTGACTTGTAGAGAGCATGTACAGCAATTATACTGCACTGTCTAAGTGGTGACAATGATTGAAGAAAAGGCAATTGCTAAACAGCCAGCTCCTCTGTGGCAAATGTGTTTTCTCTGAACTTCAAAAATGAGACTCAATCTAAATTGAGAATTCCTGTCATATTTCCCTTATCTGTGTGGTTTTTTTCAGGGGAAGATTATGAGGTGATTGAGAGGGGATTGACCATCCATCCCACAACAACCAGAATAACAGTTGGTGTTGATATTATAGATGACTCAACCTGTGAAGACAAGGAGGTGTTTAGTCTCTCAACATCTCTACAGTCATCTGATGACCCCATTTCCATTGTCAATGATATCAGGATCACAATCGCTGATGCTGATGACTGCTGTATGTTATGTTACCCACTGCCTCCAGTTGTATATAGTAGCCTCTACTTGTGACAGAATATGGAAATAAAAGAAGCATGTATATAATTATATACAGTACTCTTTCTCTGTTCTCCCATAAACTTATACTAGAAACACTAGTAATACTAGCACTAATGTTTTTCTGTCTGTAGAAATGATGGCACAAAGCAAAACGGTTTTAGATCTGAGTTAAAGTATGTGTGTGTATGATTTTGTTTTTGCCCATGCAGTACCAGTTGTCAGGATGACTGTTGAACCAACTGTTGTATCTGAGGCAGGAGAGATTGTGGAGGTGACTGTTAGTCTAGCAGGTGGAGGAGGAAATCTACCAGGGGAGGTCCAACTTGGAATATCCACAGTTCCCATACAACCTAAAGGTACGCATGATGTGGACACCTTTTACTCCTCTGCTACGTAATAAGGACCCTCTGAATAAAGGACTCATCTCTATTAATGGAACTTAGTTCTTTCTGCCCCATTACATACCAATACAATATTACCTCTGGGAAAGGGATACATCTGTATAAGGCCACTTTCAATGTCACCGAGGTGCCCTTTATTTAGAGTTTTCGCAGTATTACCTACTATGAAGGGGAGATTTCTGTGTGCAGATATTGATTCCGTGGGTGTCGAGATACTGACGCAATCGGAGGTGACGCTGACATTCGAAGAGGGCAGTAGCTCGCGACAGCTCCAGATCGGTGTCAGAGACAACAGTGTATATGACGGAGGAGAAGATAGAATATTTGCCATCATTCTCAGTCTCTTGTACACTGACTTTGAGAATCTCAACATTTCCTCCGACTATGTTGAAGTGCGCATAACTGATGATGAACCACAACCAGAAGGTATTTGCAATAGAATTCCACATTACACTGTAAAATTTTTGAGGGGAAAGTTTTTGGAGAATTTTGCACTTTTTCAGCCAACCGTAAAGGTTTTCTCAACAAAATATCTGGGCCGCGCAATATACAGAGGTTTAGTTTTCGACTCTGAAGTTTCATGGTACATGGTAGCATTAGAGTGTAGGGGAGAGGGAAAGAGATATGTGGTGCGGTTTATAAGATTGTCTAAAAAAGTAGTCTTCTTTCTGATGCAGGAATAGTATGCAATGTCAGAGGTGAACCACGGGATGCTCCTACCGCAGAAGTCTGCTGTGTTGACTTGGGAGGAATGTCATACGAAAAGTCAATATACACAATTCCATGCATAGGTAAACTTGTAATCTAGATAATGACACAGGCCAGGAGTGAAAACATTTTTGTAAAGAGTCGAACCCAGGCATCTTGAACGTGTTTTAACTGCATAGTAGACGCCTGTTCATAACATAAAAGCCATTTTCTAACTATATACCATATCCCTTGGTGAGTTTAACTTGTGTGTGTGTGTGTGTGTGTGTGTGTGTGTGTGGTACAGTGATAGGGTTTCAGGAGACGGAGTATGAAGTGATGGAGAGACGTGAGTCGTATCAGTTCACACTGGCAGTGGTGCAGGGATCTCTGGCTCAGAACCTATCTCTCACCATCATATCCACTCCCATCACTGCTGGTATTGCAGCTACTACACTTGGCTGATAAAGAATGTGTTCACTTAGGCTTAGTTTTGCCTGTCCACAATTATTGTACTCATCTGGACATGTACTAAAATCGTTGCCGACTTGGGTTTTGAACACGTGAGGGATTGTTCTATAGGCTTTTGAATTCCCCACTGATGTAGCTATATCATAGTTCAACTCAGTGTATTAAATGCCGGTGTGCTTCTATTGGTGCAGCTGCTAATGATTACAGGGTCCTGGAGCCCTGGGTACCACTGGAGGAGAATGGAACCGGGACCGTGCGGGTGGAGATCAGTACTGAACCGGGACAGGAGGACGGGCCACAGGAGACATTCAGACTGACTATCATTGAAGAGAGTGGAGTCACTCCCAAGAATGTCTTCTTCAGAGGAGCCCTGGTCACCATCCTTGATCAGCCATCCGGTAAGTCCACATCGTTCAAAGCAAGCATGATTATCAGCACATGATAGTGAAACCTCCAAATAAGGGACATCTTAGAGTTGCTCTATATCAGTCTCCTATGGGAGACCAACACCACAGTGTCAGGTTGTTACTTCATACACAGAATATGCTGAATCAGCACTCCTCCATAGTCTTAACAACCACAAGCATCAGGTGTCCCTTAAATCTAGTGTATTACGTAGTATGGGACAGAGACAAGGGTCCCTTTGGGAGATTGCTCTGTATATCAATCTCCTATTAGCCTCTATGATGAGAAATACGTGATAGCTTATACACTTCCTTCACACCTAATCTCTCTCTCTCTCTCTATTCCCAGATCTACCGTGAAGAAATGCTACCATAGCCTCTCTGGATTTTCTATGTATAATAATTATAGCTAACTGTTAGAGAAAACATTCTCGTCTCTGTTTGTCTGATTCCCCGTTTCCACTTCACGTCGTAACTTTGAGCAACAAATTAATGACTGTTCTACCATAAAGTAATCTACACATAACACCATAGTTACATACTAGTTATCAAGAGCAGTAAAAATCAACTGACGCAAGTTGTCAATTTGTCCATACGTACATAATTGTTTATCCGCTTGACTATTGAGGTTCAGAGCCACGGATGGTAACGACAGCAACATTTGGATCCAGAATTGGAAATATCAGTGAGTTGTCGGGAAGATTGAGGACTGCCTCAAATCGCTCATCAGGCTCGAAAATCTCACTAAAGAATATCTGGATTGCTACCTCCACTCGTGTCTGACTTTGAGTAAACTCAATGAGAGTTGATACTGGTTCATAGTCTTCACCAGCTGTATATAATAGATGAGAACAGTGGCAGCTGAAATTATGGTGAAAGGTTAAAAAATCCACAAAGGAACAAAATGGAAAGGTTTTGAGGGAGAAAGAAATGTGAATTTCATGATTCAGGTGTCTTCATATCTCAAAAAGCCTTCAAGCTGTCTGCTCCAACTACACTGCCTTTACTGAACAGTACGACCTCATTAGATAGAGCACTACATTTATGTACCATTGGCCGGGTTGTTCTCCTCGCGATCTTGAGTCCTGAAGTTGAGAGCCAGGACCACGCCCTCTGCCAGTACTCCAGAGGAGATCTCCACTGAGACCGAGACATTCAGCTGGAACTGCTGCACGATGTACTGGGCCTGGCTGAAACCAACCACCAGAGCTGAGTTGGTGAGAGAGAAGGAAGACTGGATCAACATACGTACTTTCAGGCTTATATAATTCAATAATGATGGTCTTATGTCTGTCTAGTCTAACCCCTAGGACCTTGGTCCTTTTAAAACCTATATACTGTTCCTTCATTTAGTAAATCCAGATTTACAAACCTATTTCCAATACTCTTTAGACAATTATTACAGGGGTTCAGTGACTGAATTAAGTCATAGCAAAACAGTTTGGTTTCACATCGTTAACTCAGCTGTTGGAATTAGTATTTAGAAAATACAAAGAACAAAGAACATGATATGACTACTCTAGGAAAGACTTACGGTCATCATCAAGGATAGTTAGGATATTTGGAGCGTCCAACTCGATTCTTGGGAGGTCGGTAATGAAGACCAGCCCCACGTTCTCCCTAAGAGCCTCAGTGAAGGTGTCATTGATGATAATGTCCAGAGCCACCGAGGTGAAAAACTCTGTGGCAGGAAGGGTGACTGGGAAGAGCACCAGTGGCTCGTAGTCTTCACCCTCAGTAGCTGTGGAGAAATTTTCCATTTAAACTTCACATTAGAACGCAAATAATGCTCGGGAGATGTGTAAACAGGAACATTTAAAAAGCCTACAGACAGAAAGTAGGGATGTCCGCCCGATGATATATTTGTGATGAATGCCAATTCCCAGATATGTATAGTTGCAAGGTGTATATAAGTGGAAAAACTTGAGGAATCGGTTACGCACAATGAATAAGCATTACCAGGAGCACCAGTGGATGTGTTCACAGTAGAGACAAGAACCGTGACGGGAATTTCACTGAAACCCTCGATGAACATTTCCAGCACTGCAGAGTCATTCTCTCTCGTCTCAGGTACACTTATACCCAAAAATATCTCTGTACGATAGAAATAAAATTTGGCATTTTAGTGGTCTATAATTATATATATAGCCATCACAGAACTTGCAGATAAAATATTCTAGTTAAGTATTAAGTAATAGCAGTGGTAATTTGTCCCCCAAAGGCGGCAAAGGCTGGGGGGGGGGGCTTCGTCCACAGCAACTCATGACACCATACTTATAATGATATACGTTACAAACTTCATTTGGTGGATAGAAGGGAGGTTAAGATGCGATTTATACGTACGATCTCCATCGAGGATGGTGACAGTGAGCAGATCCCTCTCGGGATCAATCTGCGCCCCTGTCACTCCCACAATTCTGAACATCACAACCTCTTCGGAGCGCTCGTAGAGATCATCAGGATTAACAGAGAACAAGAGACTTCCACTTGAGATCTCGCGGTCCAGAGTAATGTTTGTTGGTCCAATTACGGTTACGTCGGGACCAACATCAAGGCCTTGAAAAGCTGTGGAGTGGAATGAGAGTGGCAATAATGATCACTATAGGTGTTTTTGCATGCTCCGCCTCCTGCCATATTACAGCACTTTAGCACCGTTGTTAGTACGCAGTCAAACTAAGCTGCTAATTAATGTAACATTATAGGTCGGAGTGGAGAGTCCCAGGCAAAAACGACCTTTTAGAGTCCGTGATGGAATGAGAGTGGCATAATGATCACTATGTCTGTGGGTGATCTGAAGTGCAATACTGATCACTATAGTGTTTTAGCATGCTTAGTGCGATTTACACGTTTAGGTAGCAGCAAACGGGGCGCTGCTAACTCAGATTAATTAAATAAAAAAACATCGCAGATAATCCTAACAGCATTAGCACAATAAAAGAAACGAACTAAGTAAGCATAAGCAAGAGCTAGTCTAACCACTATCTGGCTACAACAGCCAGACAGGTAAGGTAATTCCGTACCTGTGAATGTGTCGTTCAACAATGAGACTGTGACGACCACTTCATTTGTAGAAAAGGAGGAGAAGGTCCAGAGACAACTATTTGGACATTGACAATCTCTTCAGACTCCAGAGCAGTCAGAGTTGTAGTCTGGAAACCAACTGTGTAAGGCCGTGTGGAAGAGAGCACGCAACCTCACACCATGCCGAGTTATGGAGGTTACATTACACAGATGATTGTCTGGCCTTTTAACTTTTTGCAGTGGGTTACTATGTTAAAAAGTCCTATTATTTTTTCATTTATACATTTTTTTACAATTTTTGTGTGCAACAAGCTTCCAAACTGTTAATAGTCGAGATGGCACCAAGAGCTTTACAGTACATTACCTCTGAGTTGGTCGTCATCTTCAATCACAACCACCGCTTGCTCGGGAAGTAACACTCCAAGACCTTCAATCTGTGGTGGTATCACTCCAAATGTGAAAGACTCCGCTTCCTCCGGGACCTCATCGTCAATGATTGTGATAGCAAACGACACTGTAGTTGTCTCAAAGGTGAGGACAAACATTTCATTGATGGGAATAAAGTCGCTCCCGGCTGCACAGGAAGGAAAAGACAAGCAAATTTGACGAGCATAGTCCTTTAAGAAAAGTGCTATATGATATAAAGCCCAATGTTCCATGGAATTAATAATACATTTATATTAGGCTCTCTTGTATCTTTTTCTCTTCCTCCCTCCTTGCCCCCTCCCTCTCCCCCACTTACCATCAGCCCCTCCGTTCTGACTATCAGTGGATGACACATTCAGGCTATAGTCAACTCCCAGAGAGCCCTCTACCACTGCCAGAGAGAACCCTATCTCCCCGTCACCCTCACTGACCGTGGCTAACATCTGGTTGAACGCCAACCTAACAACTGTACATTTCAGAACGGACACATTAAATGAGCAATTACGTTATATCCCATGAGAACTTAGAATCCAATAGCATACATACAAATCCTTCTGGAAAAATCTCTACACAAAATGTGGTACGTATTATTATAGATGAGTATGGGATCCTAAAGGTTTAGCATGCTCACTATATACAGTGACAGAAATGGATAGACTTACAGTCATCATCTAGAATACTGAATGTCCGGCCTCTTCCAGAAATGTCGATGCGGGGCATTTCGGTCCTGATGAAATATTGGAGTTGCTCAGGAAACTCGGTGATCAGGTCGTTAATGATGGTGATTGAAACGTTAGGAAACAGGCCACCTGGCTCTACCACAACTGGTACATCAACCAGCTCCGTGAAATCCTCTCCAGCAGTTGCAAAACCAGCACCTACACCAACAAACAAACAGGTGGTGCAAATCAATGACTTTGGGATGGTCACATGACAGTTAGGTCACAGGAAGAAGGCACTTGAGACAGAAAACCAAAAACTTATGCAGTTTGCAGCATTAACTTGGGACTTGGTCTCAGCAAACGTGCTATTTGCACGATTACTCCGCAAATTAACGATGGGTTGAAATGCCACTGAAGCGACATATTATTTACTGAAGTGACATAATTATTATTTGCAGTTATAGAAGCTTGTTTTACCTTCAGAGGTAGTGGTGGCGGTAAAGAGGAGAGTCAGTGGGACAGCATTGGTGCCATCTATAAAGAACTCCACAAACGCCCGACCAGCACCCTCTGACGTGTCCCGGACAAATCCTCCAACACTCAAAACTAAAGAAGAAAAGGCCAATCATTACCCAAAAAAGTCATGTGTCTGCACAATATAAAAACTCCCTATCATAGCCCCATACATCTATGATGTTAGGTATATACCATGCCCATTGTACTCACAGGTATTATCGATGACAGCCACAGTGGCCGTGTCTCTCTCCGGGTCAATTACGCCTCCCACCACGTCCACAATTCTGACAGTGAAGAACTCCCGCTCTGCCTCGTAGAGGCTGTCAAACAGTGGGAAGATTGGAACAACAGCAGACAGAGTTTCTCGATCCAGTGTCACACTCCTCGCTTCCACCCCCACGTCCTCTCCAACTGAAGAATTAGGATTCACACTCGGTTATTGTGAGGGAATAGGAAGAGTGCGGGAGTCATGGTAATCTAATTTGGTTAAATTGTAATACTACTAAACTCAGCCTATCTCTCTCACTCTGGAGTAGTGTCATGAAATTTCAGGCAATATTTTAGAGTTATTTTCGGAGTGATTAAGGCCTGTGTTAAGTGTTGAAAAATTCAGTCTAATTAAATTGTGACACCCTCAGGCAATGTGATGTGAAGTAAAGTCATCAATATCTGAAACACCTTGTGTTTAAAGTGATGAAAAGTTTAGATTAAGAGTGTGGATAAGTGGTTGTGACACTATAAACGTGTGTGTAGCTAACCGCAGCTATATTGACTGAGATCAATATAAGTGGGTACGTACCTCTAGCAGTTCCATTGATGTACTGCAGGAACACCTGGATGTCTCCCACGGGAGAGAAACCAGACGCCATGACGACCAAATTTCCTCCTTCAGAGAACTCTGACACTTCCAGCGCCGAGTTTAGGAATCCAACTGTTGTGTACATTTATCAAACATGACAATCATACGTAGTCAGGGACTTTGTAAACTGATAGAATGCTCAACTTAGCAAAGAAACTTTTTCGTTTGCACGCCAGACGGGCAAAATATTTTCAGCGCTTTGCAGAGTTATGGAGGTTACATTACACAGATGATTGTCTGGCCTTTTAACTTTTTGCAGTGGGTACTATGTTAAAAAGTCTATTATTTTTCATTTATACAATACATTTTGTGTGCAACAAGCTTCAAACTGTTAATGGTCGAGATGGCACCAAGAGCTTTACAGTACATTACCTCTGAGTTGGTCGTACATCTTCAATCACAACACCGCTTGCTCGGAAGTAACACTCCAAGACCTTCAATCTGTGGTGGTATCACTCCAAATGTGAATAAGACTCGCTTCCTCCGGGCGCCTCATCGTCAATGATTGTGATAGCAAACGACACTGTAGTTGTCTCAAAGGTGAGGACAAACATTTCATTGATGGGCATAAAGTCGCTCCGGCTGCCACAGGAAGGAAAGACAAGCAAATTTGACGAGCATAGTCCTTTAAGAAAAAGTGCTATATGATATAAGCCCAATGTTCCATGCAATTAATAATACATTTATATAGGCTCTCTTGTATCTTTTTCTCTTCTCCCTCCTTGCCCCCTCACTCTCCACCACTTACCATCAGCCCTCCATTCTGACTATCAGTGGATGACACATTCAGGCTATAGTCAACTCCCAGAGAAACCCTCCACCACTGCCAGAGAGAACTCTATCTCCCCGTCTCCCTCACTGACCGTGGCTAACATCTGGTTGAACGCCAACCCTAACAACTGTGATTTCAGAACAAGGAAACAGTTAAATGAGCAATTACTTTATATCCCATGAGAACTTAGGACAACAAAAAAAAAAAAAAAAAAAAAAAAACAAAAAAAAAAACACAAAAAAACAAAAAAAAAAAAACAAAAAAAAAAAAAACAAAAAAAAAAAAAAAAAAAAAAAACAAAAAAAAAAAAAAAAAAAAAAAAAAAAAAAAAAAAAAACAAAAAAAAAAAAAAAAAAAAAAAAAAAAAAAAAAAAAAAAAAAAAAAAAAAAAAACAAAAAAAAAAAAAAAAAAAAAAAAAAACAAAAAAAAAAAAAAAAAAAAAACAAAAAAAAAAAAAAAAAAAAAAAAAAATCAAATAGCATACAACAAATCCTTATGGAAAAACTCTCTACACAAAATGGGTACGTATATTATAGATGAGTAGGGATCCTAAAGCTTAGCAGCCCACTATATACAAGTGACAGAAATGGAAGAC